GAAAGAGGTCCAAGGACAGTCCATTTGGATACAATACTTCTGAAGGAAGAAATGTTCTGAAAAAGGGGAGCCGAGTCCCCGGAGTCAAGCACACCCCAGTCTGGGCACACACGCTCTGGCTGCAACATGGCTGACTGTGCTGTGCTACCCAGAGTGGAACTGCGCCATGCCCACCACTGCAGGCCTCTGTTCCCAGCAGGTAATACACTGGCCATGAGGTATTTGAAAGCATTTGCTGAAATACACAGTGTTGCGTGACCGTGACCCTGGGCAGGCCGCGTACACCCCAGCATGTAAGAATCTTGAGATAAGCTTTCCATTTTACTGAGCACCGCTCAAGCGCTTCCCAGAATATTGTGTGTGAGCCTTGTAATTAAAGCGGGAAGAGGAGGCCTGGCAGAGGGTCTGAGAAAAATTGCGAGGATATTAAAGGGTTGGAAACAATAAAGCTTACTTTAAAAAAGAGATTCAAAGGACTTGGATTATTTAGACGGAAGGACAGAAGGGGAGGAGGCAGAATAACAATGATTGGCAAATACACTCATTCTAGGGCTGGAGAACGTAGCTAATTCCTCCCTGATGAAATACTGGGGGCCTGGCTGCTCGCTGTACGGACTTGTTAGCCAGCAAGCCAGAATTCAGCAAAATGAAAGCGCTGAACGGTCACAGGCCACAGTCTGTCTCCCTGACCGGATCTTGGTCATGCCTGCTTTGTGAGCCCATGTGGACCCCGGGGTAAGCATGAAGCCGAGGGCAGGGTGGTGGGGGGGTGGGGTGGACAATTCTTTCTAGATGGTGTAAAATCTCAGTGGGATTAATGAAAACTCTCTGTGTGAGCCTGAGAAACAACCCCCACCAGGTTTGTTTATCTATCAAACAAAAGTTTGTTTCCCCATTAGAAAAGTGATGCACACTCCTTGGCTTAGAAATAAAAGCAAACTCTCCAGAGATGCACATGGAAGGACAATTCTGTGTGTGTGTGTTTGGGATGGAGCAGACAAGGGGAGAATGGTGAGAGGCAGGGTGGGTAGGATAGAAAATGAGATTTTACTAAATTGGGAGGATAATCGGGACACTTGATTTACAGCACAATCCAGGTTACAAGGCATAGTTTCCTTTCAGCCCGGGGTCCCCGCAGAAGGCTCTCCTGCCTGGATCCCACTGCAGGAGGAGGGAAGGCTCCCCGCTCTGGTAAAAAAAAATGTCAAGTCTTCGTCCTACCAGGTGGGCAGTGAATGGAGAGCCTCAGGATGGAGTCAGCCTCTTTCCCACTACTCCCCGCGTCCCCCACCTTAGCGATCCTGGAATAACACCTGTTAAGGAGGCAGACAGATATCACAACTTCTTGAAGGAGGAGGGTGGGGGAGACCTTGCTCCGTCTACCATCCCAAGGCATTCATGTGGTTTCTTACAGTTGCTTTTTTCTCTCTCTCTCCTTTGTTTTACATATGAAATCTGGTGACAAATATATAATTTTGCAGCTTTTCCCACCTGTTTTCATTAAGTTAAATTCATCACAATGGTATGTGTAATGTGAAACCCACTTGTATAAATATCCACATGCAGGGGCTGGCAGGTGGTGTGGTGATTAAAGCACTGGACTCCTACATGACTGACTGTGGTTTAAATCCCAGACCTGGCAGTTTGCTTCTCACCTTCCCTCTCTCTCTCTCTCTCTCTCTCTCTCTCTCTCTCTCTCTGGTCAAATTAAAAAATAATAATAATAAATTAAATTAAATTAAAATGATTTTTTTAAAAAAATGCACATGCCCTATGACAAAAACAAACAAAAAACCCCTAAAAATCTAAGGCAAATAAATAAGTAAAATTAAATAAATAAAAAGAGAAGGCATATTTTTCATAAGATGAATCCAACTCAATAAGAATCTAAAACAGGGTAGAGGGGAAGCTACCAGGTTAAATGGTATGAACACTGCCGAGTTCCACAGCAGCTCTGACAGCTGGTTCTCTCCGACCACAGACACGTTCTGGTTCCTGTCCCCTTTCCTGCGTCTCTAATCCATTTGTCTCCTCTCTCTCTCTCTCCTCCTCCTGGTTTTCAAGCACTCATGCTTTCATTGTCCCTGATTTCCTGTAATGATCACCGTGGTCCTTTCTGTCCCCTTTCTTTCCTTACATCCCTGTTGGATGCCATAAGTCACTCGTGTGTGGGTTACTCCACGGGTACCCTTCCTTGGCTCCTGACAGAGAGATGGTGCTACCATTAGCTTCCAAATCTCCATGTCTGCTACCTTGAAATCTGGGGTATGAGAAAGCAGTGACGAACATCCTAAAGTGTGAGGACCGTGGCATCTGCCTTGAGGGGTTGTCACAATGAATGCTTACTCTGCTGACACCATAAATAGCCTTATGAAAAAGTTAATAAACCTAAGGTCATTTACATGCTTTTGATGATATTTCTTTGATGTCTTGAACATGGGCTAGTGTTTCCTATGCCTATCTAGATGGGCAGCCATGAGAGAGGAGTTATTTTTATCTATGCATGTGATTTGCAGCTGATTAGGGATGTAAAGATTCCATTCCTTGCCATCACTCACTGCCTGACACCATTAGCCGAACTGTTCTGTTGTGAATACATGTGATGACCTTGGCTCAGACAGATGCAGAACCACCTTACATTCCCACCAGCAAGGTACAGGGCTCCAATTTCTCCAAATGCTAACACTTTCTTTCAAAACAAGTTCAAGTCCAGGACCCAGTGGCTTGCAAATCACACCAAGTGTACGTGCAAGTGTGTCTAAAATCTCAAAAGGAGAATAAAAAAGAAGGGATTGTGGCATGACTGTTCCCCACCAGAGGGTAATTTCTCACTTTCCCTCTGTCTTTCTCTGGCAAGCACACATACCCTATGGCCAAAAACAAGGCCAAAAAAATATTGTCATCCTAGTGGGTTTGAAATGGTATCTCATCGTGTGTGTGTGTGTGTGTGTGTGTGTGTTTTAAGTGTACTTATTTCTTCCATGAATGAGTAAAAGAGCCAAAGAAACATCAGCCCAAACAGGGACCTGATGTTGCAATCCTTCCCTGCCTCAGCCTCAGCCAGCCCCAAAATATGGGCATGCTTCTGCCTGGTATACCTGGGTATACCAGATCTCTGGACAAACTCTTGGCCCTTTCTGTGTGGGTCAACCTTGCAGTGTGTTGTACTCACCTCTGTGCCCTCGCCTGACCCACTCACGGTGGTTCTGGTCTGCATTTTCCTAATGACTACTCATGGTGAGCATCTTTTCATGGGCTTATTGGCAAATTGTATATTGTCTCTGGAGAAATATTCATTCAAGTCATTTGCCCATTTTCAAATTGGGTCAGTTCTTTATTATTATTGGATTCTAAGAGTTCTTTCTTTATTCTGGATACTAGATGCTTATTCGGCATAAAATTTGCAAACACATTATCCCATTCTGTAAGTGTCTTTCCACATTTTTTTTTAAAAAGTTGATTTCTTTCAATAAAGGGAGAGACACAGGAAGGATGAGGGAGAGAGAAATGGAAAGAGAGAAGAGGGAAGAATGAGCACCCCCAGCAGAGTTCCCTGCTGCACTCTTCTCGTTCTGTCTGTTGGGTAGACTCACAGGCACACGTGCCCAGCATGTGCAGGTCAACCGGAGAACTGAACTGTGATCTCCCACTTGGATCTAGCATTGCTTGAGCAACACAGTATCAGTGCACCAATGAGCCAACCCTTCATTGTTTTGATAATGTCCTTTGACCCACACCAGTTATTACCAACTCCATGGTCTGGTGGTAAGAAAGCCAGATCCCACAGGGCTGATAGCACAGTTTGAGTCCCAAACCCAGAAATGTAAGAAACACATTAGGCACGTGTGCATATGTGCCCAAAATCCCCAAAGGAGGGAAAAATGGAAGAGTGGTGATTAGGATGTGACCATGTCCTATGTGGGGTGCTCTCTCCCCCCCCTTTCTTTATGTCTCTGTCTCTCTGTGTTTAATTTGCAAGTATATATGCCTTTTAGCTAAAAAGAGAGAGAGAGAGAGAAAGAGAGAGAGAGAGAGAGAGAAAGCGTTACTAAGTTTAATAAAGACCAATTTATCTACTGTTTCTGTTTAGTTGCTTATACTTTTGGTGTTACATTTAAAAGCCATTGTCAAATGCAGGGTCATAAAGATTTATTCCTATATTCTCTTTTAAGTATTTTACAGTATTATCTCTCATATTTAAGCAATTCATCCATTTTTAATTAATTCTTGTATATGGTGTGAGGTTAGGGGCCTAACTTCATCCTTCTAAGTCATTTGATCCAAATTCTTCATTTTTCAAAATGAGAAAACAGGCATGAGGCGTGAAGGGACAAAGCAAATTTGTGACAGGAACAAGACGAAAGCTCCTAGAGTCTAACCCCTGTCTACCATATCACAGTGACCCTGTCCTAGGTCAGAGGTCCTTGTCATATTCACAGAGAAGCGTAGCGACCATGTAAATTTCCTAAGCATGTGTAACAATTATAAAGGTAATTTCATAAAGTAAATGCTTAGACCACTGTATCAACCTTTTAAATAGAAGGTTTGTTTTCTAATTTTTTATTTGAAAGTGCCATCCGTACATCGAAGTTAAGTGTTGTACATTTCTGTCAAATGGTAAACAGCTTATCTCTTCTGTAATTAATCTTGAGTAAATGCAAGTTACATTTTCTCCAAGAAATTTTCTAGCAGAGTTGTATACACAAAACCGAATACAAGATATTTGAGAACACGCAGAGTCCCCCAACATGGGGAGACCAAAAATGTCTGGAACCTTTATAGCAGTCACTCCAGGGCCCCGTTACAGTCCTCTTGGCCCACCTTTTACTTCAGCCACTGTCATGGAAACCTCCTTCCTCCAGATGTAACCTGACAGCGCTTTGGCTTTGCTTTAGGTATGCTGGGTATCCCTTGTTTTCTGCCCCAGGACCTCTCTGATACTGATATCGGACACTAATAATGGTAATGGAGAATAAACCATTGGCCAAAGGATGGGCAGAACCAAAATAAATGCTCCCTTTCCTATCCCTTGAGTGAACGAATCTGAGTTATGGTCTACATGGCTCTTCAGTAGGTCTCCGAGGACTCAGATCCGAATGCCTACAGCAGAGTGCAGCTCAACAACGCATCCCTGTACCGCCTTCCCTCTTTCACTGGGGTGCAATTTCTAGCCTCAACTCTATTTCCTGAGATCATTTTCCTAAATAAACTCTGAATGAAAGCTTTTGTCTTAGGCCTTACTGCCTTACTTTCTGCAGGAAATTCAGGCCTAGACGTGCCTCACTACAGGCGCTGTTGTTACCCCTGTTGTATGGATGAGGAGACAGAGATGCACAGACTTCAGAAAAGTTACCTTGAGCCCAGAGCTGGTCAATGACAAGGCAGGGAATTACGCACATCCGATTTCAGAGCCCAGGGGAGTTACAACACTCTCTACTCTCTCCAGTCATGCTCGCTGTTTTTGCCCCTCTGTTGTCTCCCCACACAAGGAGTCAAGTCTCTGCAAACTCATCACAAGTTCCAAGGCTTCTCTTTGTGCCCAGGTCCCCCAGCCTCTTCTACCTTTGCAGACTGTAACTCCTAATGCGGAAGACCAGTCTCAAATGCTTCTTGCGGCTGGTTAACTGGCTATTATTATTATTATTATTTTAGGATTTTGCCTAGGGCACGTGTGCTTGCCA